TTGGATCTAGTATGAGTCTTCTAGAGTGAGTAGTTCCTCATGAGGCTCAAGTTTTTAAAAATACAGTCAAAGCAAAGAAGGAAGGCATTCATTTTCATGTTGAAATACTTCTAAAAGGAACATTTCCTCATAAGGTCCAACTATTAAATGTAGGTGAAATAAACCAAAAAAGGAAGCTTTTTCCTCCCAACAATAAAGTAACTGAAGAAATAACTCAAGGCACTTTCTTGTATAAATACATAATTTTATTATTTTTTCTTATATCTTAAATACACATTTTGATTATGTAAATACTTTCTGTAATAAAGTTGATTAATCTAGTTTGTGAATGATATGCATTAAGTGCCTTTTTTATTATAACTTCATAGTCAGTATAATCTAGTGAGAACACTTTTGGCTTTAGCAGAAACAGAATTCTGTTCCTAGATCTGGCTTTGTGTGTAACACCAAGTACGTCATTTTTCTTCCATATGTACCTCATTTACTGCAGTGTTTCTATTACGTTTCAGACTTTCATATGGCGGGTAGTATCTGTAGCCTAGAAGAACAGTTAGCAAGTACACTAATTGCACTTCTGTGGTATGGTCTATTCTCCAGGCTTACTATTTATTGATTTAATTGATGTCTGCTGTTTAATCAGAGGTTTTACTCACATGGAACTGTTTGATAAGCTTGACATAAAATGCAAGATCTGTGAAATGCAAACAGTGTTCATAGTATAAGGACCTATAATCAAGTCAGACCTCTAGTCATTTGAAAATAGTGCAGCTGCATGAGAAGTAGTTTTCTATTTGATCTTTTTTTGCTGTGGACATTTAAAAGTACTGTCTTTATTATGCTATCCACATGCTAATATTTATTATAATAGTTCGTCTCTTTTTTTCCCGTTTTGCCCTCCTTCCTGTCTCCCCACCACCCCAAACCGCCATTTTGCCACTCCCTTTATGTAAGTCTTATTCTGGTCCCTTTTTTCCTCATTGAATGTCTTTCTTTTTACTTTTTCTGATTTTCTTAGTTTTGACTTTACATTTTAGACTAATATAAGTTAAACCATACCGAGTGTACTGCTGCAGCAGCTGGAAATAATCTCTAAGCTTTTGCATTCTTTGGGCACTACAGTTTGGGAAATATGGATTGTATGTCTTTGTAGGCATGTTCTGTTCAGGGTATTCCTGAAGTCTTGCAGCCAGTCCTTTTCTATTTGTAGCAGAAGATTGGTCCTTGAGAGAAATTATGAGTTTTAGTATGTTTTCTTCAAAACCCAGAAATTTATATATTGTTAGCAATTTTTAAACAGTTACAAGAATCTGTGAGGAGTAAAATTTAATATAAATTAGTGGGGCCATAGGAATCCCTCTCTGTTCCAAATGATCCTTAGAAAAGACATCAGATTAGCTGGTGATTTATAGAAAAATTGTTGAGCTTTATGAGATTTAAAAAAATGGCAAAGTACTGTTTTTTCAGTACAAAGATTCAGAATTGATATATCTTTTTACCCTATATATTGTTTAAGACTCTATTAGGAGATAGAACTTTTATAGAGGTGTGAAATTACTATTCTCAAGCAATTTTAAAATAGAAATTATTAAAACTGAAAGTGCCTACAATAACAAGACAAATGCTTTATATATGAAATGATTTCTTGGTTTTTTTCTTTCTTTACCATTGTAGCCATAATATTTCTTTTGGATTTTCTGATATGTAACAGCTTAAGGTGCTATATTGTGAGTGTGTGAGTGTGTGAGTGTGTGTGTGTGTGTGTGTGTGTGTGTGTTGTATTTAATAATTGAACATGTAAACATAAATGTCTTTAAGAATTTGTTACTGATTTTGTGGTATACTTTAAGATAAAGATAAAATCCTTTATTAAAAACCTACGGCTGACAATCACTTGGGAGAAAGATGCAGTAGTATAAGATTAAAAGCTTTAAAAATTTTTCTTGAGTAATATTTCATGAGATTAATTAAACTGAAAATATGTGTAAACTGTCTTAATGAGTGTGATAACATAGCTAAATATCGTACTTCTCAGCAGAAACTGAATTATAAAAATATCTCCAGCAATTTGTTCTTATATGTGAGAGATGATTGGCAAACTAGATGCAACTATTTTTCCCAATAATATACATAACATTAAGTTACACATTTATTGAACCTTCTCTCTCTTCAACTGCTAATATGGCAGTAACTAATAACACCTTTTGTTGATAGCTTCCACTACAATTCTGAGTTTACTAAAGGATAACATTGCACAGTGGCAAGTTCCAATACTCTTTCTTGACTTTAGATGTTTTACTATATTGAGTTTATATTTAGAATCTTAAAGGAAAGTTGAAGTCTCCAGAAACACTTTTATTTCATGCTGGATTTAAGAAAACTTCATTATAAGCAAGTCTTATGTTACTTGACAATTGCATAAAAATGCTGCTCTTTAATTTAGCTCTTTGTTCCTTATACAAGCCCTTAACTTCACATTTGTTCATAGCCTTTTAATTTTCAATACACACTCTCTTTCCCCTAGAAAAGATAAAATCTTTCAGACTTATATTTCATATTACATTAAATGTAGAAGTTTTTATTAGTTCATGTGTAAAATCAGTTAATAATATGAAAGATATATTTAACATTTTAATGTTTCATTTAAAGAAGTGATATTGAAAATCTAGTCTCAACTTGAATATTGTTTGCATTATTGCAGTTATTATCAAGATTCTATATCTGCAGGTGTTTGACTTCCAGCTTAAACTATTTATTTCAGAAGACAGGACCATTTTTTTGGATCTAGTATGAGTCTTCTAGAGTGAGTAGTTCCTCATGAGGCTCAAGTTTTTAAAAATACAGTCAAAGCAAAGAAGGAAGGCATTCATTTTCATGTTGAAATACTTCTAAAAGGAACATTTCCTCATAAGGTCCAACTATTAAATGTAGGTGAAATAAACCAAAAAAGGAAGCTTTTTCCTCCCAACAATAAAGTAACTGAAGAAATAACTCAAGGCACTTTCTTGTATAAATACATAATTTTATTATTTTTTCTTATATCTTAAATACACATTTTGATTATGTAAATACTTTCTGTAATAAAGTTGATTAATCTAGTTTGTGAATGATATGCATTAAGTGCCTTTTTTATTATAACTTCATAGTCAGTATAATCTAGTGAGAACACTTTTGGCTTTAGCAGAAACAGAATTCTGTTCCTAGATCTGGCTTTGTGTGTAACACCAAGTACGTCATTTTTCTTCCATATGTACCTCATTTACTGCAGTGTTTCTATTACGTTTCAGACTTTCATATGGCGGGTAGTATCTGTAGCCTAGAAGAACAGTTAGCAAGTACACTAATTGCACTTCTGTGGTATGGTCTATTCTCCAGGCTTACTATTTATTGATTTAATTGATGTCTGCTGTTTAATCAGAGGTTTTACTCACATGGAACTGTTTGATAAGCTTGACATAAAATGCAAGATCTGTGAAATGCAAACAGTGTTCATAGTATAAGGACCTATAATCAAGTCAGACCTCTAGTCATTTGAAAATAGTGCAGCTGCATGAGAAGTAGTTTTCTATTTGATCTTTTTTTGCTGTGGACATTTAAAAGTACTGTCTTTATTATGCTATCCACATGCTAATATTTATTATAATAGTTCGTCTCTTTTTTTCCCGTTTTGCCCTCCTTCCTGTCTCCCCACCACCCCAAACCGCCATTTTGCCACTCCCTTTATGTAAGTCTTATTCTGGTCCCTTTTTTCCTCATTGAATGTCTTTCTTTTTACTTTTTCTGATTTTCTTAGTTTTGACTTTACATTTTAGACTAATATAAGTTAAACCATACCGAGTGTACTGCTGCAGCAGCTGGAAATAATCTCTAAGCTTTTGCATTCTTTGGGCACTACAGTTTGGGAAATATGGATTGTATGTCTTTGTAGGCATGTTCTGTTCAGGGTATTCCTGAAGTCTTGCAGCCAGTCCTTTTCTATTTGTAGCAGAAGATTGGTCCTTGAGAGAAATTATGAGTTTTAGTATGTTTTCTTCAAAACCCAGAAATTTATATATTGTTAGCAATTTTTAAACAGTTACAAGAATCTGTGAGGAGTAAAATTTAATATAAATTAGTGGGGCCATAGGAATCCCTCTCTGTTCCAAATGATCCTTAGAAAAGACATCAGATTAGCTGGTGATTTATAGAAAAATTGTTGAGCTTTATGAGATTTAAAAAAATGGCAAAGTACTGTTTTTTCAGTACAAAGATTCAGAATTGATATATCTTTTTACCCTATATATTGTTTAAGACTCTATTAGGAGATAGAACTTTTATAGAGGTGTGAAATTACTATTCTCAAGCAATTTTAAAATAGAAATTATTAAAACTGAAAGTGCCTACAATAACAAGACAAATGCTTTATATATGAAATGATTTCTTGGTTTTTTTCTTTCTTTACCATTGTAGCCATAATATTTCTTTTGGATTTTCTGATATGTAACAGCTTAAGGTGCTATATTGTGAGTGTGTGAGTGTGTGAGTGTGTGTGTGTGTGTGTGTGTGTGTGTGTTGTATTTAATAATTGAACATGTAAACATAAATGTCTTTAAGAATTTGTTACTGATTTTGTGGTATACTTTAAGATAAAGATAAAATCCTTTATTAAAAACCTACGGCTGACAATCACTTGGGAGAAAGATGCAGTAGTATAAGATTATGAAATTAAATAAACATACTGCTTCAGTACTATTCATATATATTTAATATATGTTTTAATGTTTGAGTTTAATTGGTTTTTTATTGCCATTTTAATTGTGTAAACAGAAAACGCCTTAATGGGATATAAATGAAACAGTTAAGAAAAGCATCAAATATTTTTATTGTAGATGTAATTTTTTCCTTGTCCTCCTTTATTGGTTTATCTTAATGTGTCTCTACCCCATTATTCAAAGATCTCTCCTTACATATGAAACGATGCACAGATCCACTTATACCTCATGAATCAATTTCTTTTGTTGCAGTTAATCAGGCATCAAAAGAAGACACCATGGTTTTGAAGATTGGCTCTGTTGCTATGGCTCCCCAGGCTGACAATCCCCTTGGCAGATCTGTCCTCAGGAAAGATATTTACCAGTAAGTTTATTGTCTTATGTTCAGTCTTGCAACAATTTCATCCTGCAAAGAAGTGCACTGATCAATAAAACTTGCTTAGTGTGGCCCATAGGAATACTTTTCATTCAGGATCTTTGATATTTAAAACCAGGTTTTTCTGATTTTCTTCAGTTGTGGTTTTTTAAATTCGCTCAAACAGATCAAGTATTTCTGTGAAGTGTTGATGAATAACAGAATGTAAGTACCAAATCACTATAAAACTGAAGAGGGGCAGTTTGGAAAATTTCATCAGACTTTAAATTTGACCAAATCTCTAATCACATAAGAAAATGAGGTCCCCTTACCACATCCTACTGTAGTCATGTTGTATCAAATTGAAGCATTTTCTTTATTTAACTGTAAGTCATTATTTGAATTGTAGGACTGTAGATGTCATATGGATCAAAGCTGTAAGGAAAAGCAAACTTCTAAGGCGAAATTTCACAGTAAACACTTTCTGTGAAAACGCCATGCTCTGGATTTTGTCACCAAGTATTTTGCAAACCACACCAAGCATAAATGGACATCTAAACTGGTGAACATATGTAATCAACATGATAAAAAAAATACATTATCCTTACTGAAGTTGGCACTGCTGCCAGACATAAAAGTACAGTTGCAAATAATACCAAGTGAGAAAAGTCACAGAAATACAGATGAACAAGCGTCTTGTTCTTTCTGCTGCTCTGTTTTTCAGATATCATAATCTCTCTTAAAAATAAATTTCAATGTCCTTTAATAAACGTTACTGCTAGGAAAGATTCTGATTTTTGTGGTATGTTTACCACTTAGAGGGTGACAGCTATTTTTACTTTAAATGGACCTAGGGATTTCATTTTCTCAAAATTTTCTGCTACATGAGTTGATTTTTTTTTCCCCTTGAATAAATATCAAGCTCTCATTTCTGTATTACTTTTTTGGTAGCTTATAGTATTCATCCTTAAATAAGTTTTTATTTTGCTAGTTTATGTAAAATCTCAGTATGTCAGAATTAAAGGAGACCTTAGAAATTATCCAATCCAACTTACTTTATTTTGTGGATTAGGAAACTGAGAGTCCAAAAGAATATTCCCTACTCAAGATCACAACTGGTCAAGAGTCAAGATCTTTTGACTTCCTCAGTCTCTAGGGAAAGAATTACAGTAGAATCCTTTCTGGGTGACAATAATCTAATTTTCTAACATTTGGTAATTCTTTCAGGCATATTTATCTATTCCACTTCAAAAGTAAGTGGTCCTCAAAAAAGACCTGTAGCCAGGGCAGTTAGGCAAGAAACTGGAATAAAAGGCGTTCCAGACAGTAAGAAAAATAGAAAATTACCTTTCTGTAGATGAGATGATCTTATATATATATAGGAAATCCTATATATTCCAATATAAAATGAATCCACTGAAAAACTTAAATAAGTGCAAATAAATTTTCCAAGAGGAGTGCAGACTTACACTCTGAAAACTACATAAGATTGTTGAAAGAAATTTAAAAAGATCTAAATAAATAGAATTATATCCCATTTACATAAATCAGAAGACTTAGTATTGTTCAGTGGGAGTACTTCTCAAAATGATCTGCAGGTTCAACAAAATCCCCACTAAATTCCACCTAGTTTCTTTGCAGAACTTGACAAGGTGAAACTGAATTCATATGGAAATTATTCATATTGAAATTCAAGGGCTCCAGAATAGCCAAAACAGTCTTGGAAAAGAAGAACAAAGTTGGAGGACTCACATTTCCTGATTTCAAAACCTGTGATAGAACAATAGCAAACAAGACAGTAGAGTACTGGCCTGAGGATGGACGTGCAAATCAATGAATGGAATCGAAAAGCCAGAAATAAACCATTACATATACTGTCAGTAGGTTTTTGGTAAAGGAGCAAAGATAATTCAGTGGTAAAGAATAGTCTTTTTCAAATGGTACTCAGACTACTGGATATCCATGTGAAGGTGAACCCTTACTTACCACCATACACAAAAATTAACTCAAAATGGATCAGAAACTTAAATATAAGAACTAAATTCTGAAACTTATAGGAAGAAACATAAGAGTACTTAATCTTTGTGACCTTAGATTAGGTAATGGTTTCTTCAAAATGACACCAAAAACACAGGGAACAAAAAAATAGATAAATTGAACTTTATCAAAATTATTAACTTTGTACTGTAAAATACTATATCAAGAAAGTGACAATCCACAAAATATGAGAAAATATTTACAAATTATGTATCTCATTAGAGACTTGTATCCAGAATAATTTGTAAAGAACTCTTAATACTCAATAATAGAAGAACGACCCAATTAAAAAATGGACAAATGATTTAAATACACACACACACACACACACACACACCAAGAAGATATAAACATGGCTAATAAGCACATGAAAGTATGTTCAAACCAATTAATCATTAGGAAAATGCAAGTCAAAACTACACTAGAATAGCAATAAGCAAAAGGACAACGTATTTGGAGAAATCAGGAACCTCGCACATTCTTCGTAGGAATATAAAATGGTGCATTATTGGGGAAACTGGCAATTTCTCCTAAGCTTAAATACAGAGTTTAACCATATGGAGCAGCAATTCTACTCTTAGGTTTGTACTCAAGAAAATTGAAAACATGTCCATACAAAAGCATGCACATAATTGTTCATAGCAGCATTTGGTTATTCATGATAGCCAAAAAGTGGAAAATACCCGGAGTTCATCATGTGATGAATGAATAAACAAAATGTGGCATACCCATTCAATAGAATATTCTGCATAGAAAATAATGAAGTATATGCTGTAAGATGAATCAGCCTAGAAAACAGGCAAAGTGAAAGAAGTCAGACACCAACAACCACATGTTAAATGATTCCACTTAGATAAAATGGCCACAATGGACAAATACATAGAGACATAAAGTAGATAGTGATTTCTAGGAGGGAAGAGAATGACTGCTAATGGGTGTAGGGTTTCATTCTGGGCTGATAAAAATGATCTGGAATTAGTAATGTACAATGAAATGTACAGTACGTGCTTGTACAATGAATTATGTATAATGAGAACAATGAGCATACATTAAAAAATACTGAATTTCACACATCAAAAGATAAATTTTATGGGAAGTCAATTATATCTCAATAAAGCTTATTTTAAAAAAGTCTCCAAGACTGATGTCATAGAGAGGGGAAGAGGAAGTAAATTCCAGAGAGAGAGAAATACCTTTATTAGGCACATGGAGATTGGGTACACTTTACAACTCTGAAATTATTTGCCCTGTTTGGCTAAATGCACAGGGATTTTGTGAGAAGTAAAAGTCAAGGGGCATTTATCAGTCATGTGGGCTACAATGAATTGGAATCTGGAGAAGCCCCAGATACTTTGTAGTGGTTTTTCTGAGTGTTGGGTAGGGAGAGGAAGCTGACAAGAAGAAATTGCATTTCTCAAAGTTTCACATTCCTTAAAACAGACATTCTAGAGATGTACTGTTCAGCACGGCAGCCACTGACTACATGTGGCTACTCTGTTTTTGAAATGTGGCTGGTCCAAACTGAGATGTTCTCTAAGTATGAATATACACAAGATTTTGAAGAATTAAGAATGTAAAGTAAAATATCTCAATAATCTTTACATTGTTATAATAATATTTTACTATTAAGTATATTACTACTATTTTTCACTATTTTTTAAGTTTAGGAAACTTTAATATGCATAGGTGGGTCAAATGTGTGGCTTGCATTGTATGTCTTTTGAATACTACAACACTGTTGGGAGAGGCCTACAGCAAACACAGGACAAGTCTTGCCCTTGAGACCTTTGAAGCCAAAGGAGAATTGAGTTTCAGTTGCAAACTAACTTCAACCTAGCCTAATTAATGATTGGATTGAAATGATCCACACATTGGCCATTGTGCCTGGCAGGAACAGATGTGCCATTTCTGGGAGAAAATAGCACTGGCTTTTGGACTATTATTAGTATTTTTAAGAAAAAATGTTAAACAGATGGAAGATTCTATAGAAATGAGCTCTATTTAAAATTAATATGAAAATTGAATTATACAATATGTGAAGCTAAGGACTCATTGGATAGTCAGAACAGCAGATGCACAGAACAGAATATAAGATTAGAGGGTTTAGAGATAAAAGAATAGAAATTATCAAAAGTGAAGAACAGAGAATCATCAGACTGTGTTTATAATAGCTTAATAAGAGAGTTAAATTAGATGGTTAGATAGTAAAGAAGCTACCATTGAACCTTTGGTAACCATGAATCCAAAGCCTGTAATGGCAACAAGTACATATCTTTTGATAATCACCCTAAATGTAAATGGATGGAAAGCAACAATCAAAAGACACGGAGTAATAGAATGGATAAGAAAACAAGATCCATCTATATGCTGCTTACAAGAGACTCACCTAAAACCCAAAGATATACACAGACTAAAAGTGAAGGGATGGGAAAAGATATTTCATGCAAACAATGGGGAGAAAAAAGCATGTGTTGCTGTACTTGTATCAGACAGAAAAAGACTTCAAAACAAAGAAAGTAACAAGAGATAAAGAAGGACATTACATAATGATAAAGGGGTCAGTCCAACAAGAGGATATAACCATTATAAATATATATGCACCCAACACAGGAGCACCAGCATATGTGAAACAAATACTAACAGAACTAAAGGAGGAAATAGAATGCAATGCATTCATTTTAGGAGACTTCAACACACCATTCACTCCAAAGGACAGATCCACCAGACAGAAAATAAGTAAGGACACAGAGGCACTGAACAACATACTAGAACAGATGGACCTAATAGACATCTATAGAACTCTACACCCAAAAGCCACAGGACACACATTCTACTCAGGTGCACATGGAAAATTTCCCAGAATAGACCACATAGAAGGCCACAAAAAGAACCTCCGTAAATTCTAAAAGATTGAAATTCTACCATCCCACTTCTCAGATTGCAAAGGTATAAAACTAGAAATAAATTGTACA